CTGTGTGTGCACTTTTGGCGGTTCCGCTCTCAATGGGACGCCTGCGCCCGCGGTTGTGGTTTCGGGAGCCAATCTCTCTCTTACTCGCCAACGGGCTAAGGGCTTTAATTGTGAATAGGCCCTCGGCCGCCAAGCCAATTGTAGCCCCGACACCGACGCCGATATGGGGACGACGGGGGCGATTTCGTGCACCTCGTCCACCTCGGGTCTGTACCGCTGGCTCGCATTTCACGGGCTATCTTGCACTCCACCGTGCTTCCTCAACCGGCAACGGGCCCGGAGTTCTGGGTCCTTTGTCTCGTTCGACTACTGGGATGCGACAAGAACTTTTGGGAGAGCATGGAATCCAGCCATTGACCATGTACTTGTTCGACTCTGTGCCGGCCACATTGTGATTGGGTCTCGATGGAGAATGTGCGGATCGACGGGACACTTACAATAGGTATGGGGCCGTTGATCCTGCCAGCGGCGAAAGCATCAGATAGACTCGCCCGTCAAGGGGGAGATGAAACTGTAAATCGGGTCTTGGCATCCAAACCTCACTGGTTTGGCAGAAGTCGAGGTGATATCGGCGTGACGGGGAATCTCCAACCCCCGTGAGATCTCCAACAACGAACCTTATTGGGGGTGTTTGGCGGCCAACCCAGTAGACGACGACGACGACGACGACGACGACGACGACGCGCTAAGCACCCCCGTCAACGTACCGTTCATATCATCGACTGCTTTGAGAACACACTAATGAAACCAACCATCCTGCCGTCGTCAGCGGCCAGCATGGTAGGGACCGCGACGAGAATAGCAACTTCGAGAAGTTAAATCCCCCCTGGAATCCCCCATCGCGAAGCAAGTCTTCGCGACACGCCATCGTTGCCAAGTCCTGCTAAATCTCCTAATCCTGCCCAGTCTCCTGCGTAACCCCGGGGTGCCAAGGGGAGCCAAGTCCACTCGACGGTGTCATGAAGCAAGTTTACCCAGGTCCCGATTCTCCACAAGAGCCGCTACGCTCGTCACGGCCTGCCTCGTTGGCGTTTGGAGTATTCCCGCCGACAACAGGGACCGTGCCCCCCGTGTGCTGCTGCTGCCGCCGCACCACTGAGCGATCTGGAAGCACTTTTGGCAGCGTCACATCGAGAACGCGAGGGAAAAACGAGATCGTCGGGTTGGGTGCTGGGGCCATCGACCCAAGGGAAGGGCACACACACACAACCGCTGGGCGGGAGATGTGGATGGGAAAGAGAGTATCCACGGCGACTAGCGCGCCCTGCCTCGTCTCCTCACGGAATGCAACTGCAACTGTAGAGTCAAGTTTTTTCTTTTCTTTCACACGCTATCATCTCTATCTTTCGGTAGAGTAAATGGTATAGTCCACTTGACTCGGTCTTACTTGCCCATCGCGGGTCTTGGCATCCATGTCGATTTCCATGGCCAGCTTTTGCATCCTGTCCCCTCGAGATGTCAAGGGACGACAGACGCCCATGACCCCGACGAGATGGCAGGATCTCGACTTCGAAACAGACCGACCCAGCAGGCCCAGCTTCTACTGTACAGAAAAGCTTGAGCACGCTCTGCTTGGCTCGCATTGGACCCATAAGTTGCCCTCCTGGGGCCCCAAACCCGTCAACACACACCCCTTTGAACCCCGGACATTGTGGGCGACGTCACTCATTCAGTCCAATAGCGGCGCTCCTTTTAGCTCCGGCAAAACTCTGCCATGACATCTGATAAATCCGACGGACGTGACAGTGCGGCCACTATCGTTTGTTCGGTTCCTCCCCTGGGGGTTTAGGGGGACCGCGAAATAACCTCTCTTTAGGTCCGGCACCGTCGTATTCTGCTCGGACTTTTCGGACACCTGTGCCTGGCTGGCGTAGGCGACAGCGATGAAACTGACACTACACACGCTTACGTTTCTCTAATACCGTTCGTGACGGCGACTGCGCGTCCCTCTGGACGATTGGAAACCAAGATCGGCAAAACGGCGCCTCTGGCGGATCGAAGACGATTAGCATTCACCCGTAAGCCCACTCATCCCTTCCCAACTAAGCACGCGCGTATCGCGATGCTAAGCTTTCGAAGCCCATCTCAAGTCTATATCCCCTCGTCTCTCGCGCCCCATAGGAGCGGCTCCCTGTGCCGGGAGAGCCAACGAGCCGCCGAGTCATTGGCCCAATCTTTTTCAGAGAATGGGAGGCAAAACGAAGCAGCGTTTGGGGTCGTTAGCGGGGGGGGGGAACAACTTTTGTGCTAGCAATAAAGCATGTTTGATGCACCAGCGTGTATTGCGTACGTCAGAAACGGCACACGAGACCCGGTAGGCACGCATGGGAATTTAAGGTATGGCAATCAAGAGCTGCGTGCTGCGCCTCGCCGTGTTGGCCACGGCACTCCCGTCCCGGGCCAACGTCGTGTCGACCCGGGCTCTGGATGCCGTTTAACCACACGCGCACACACACACCACATCTACATTCCAATAGGATTCGAGCTCATATGATTTCTCCAACTGACACGGGGGGCCGGGTGGACCAAGACAGGCCTCCCCCCCTTTTCCCGTCGGACACCTACCACTCCAAGTTGCCCATGATAGACTAAATGGATAGAAAGAGAGTCGTCACGCTTGGCCCGCGCTGCCTCACCTGCGACAGCTGCACAGAATGCCCCCACAAGCCTCCCGGGGGAGCTGTCGTCAGCATCACATATTGTCCCTTCTGGGGAGCTCAGTCAGCCGTTCCATAATCGTAACGTCGCAACGCCCCAACTTTTTTCTCGCCGTTCCCCTTCGAGACCCCGTAACCCCCAGTCCTCACACATCAACGGTGGGACCCGCCGGTGCGCCGTCTGGCTCTTGATTCTTTCCAGAAAAATAAAAAAGACTCACCCGGTGGGGGTTAGAGGACTTGGGGCGAGGCAGGGCCCGTCCGACAAGCAACATCCATTGAGGGCCGTCGGGGTGGGCGCGACGATGGATGGCATGGGGGGATGTTCCACGTCCAACCTCCCCCCTCCATTCGACGACGACGTGTGCTCACACGGCTCCTTGAACCCACTCACACCCTCGGACGGCGATCATTGATGCTTTTCTCTTACGCTTAAACGTTGACGTCCACCACTCGAAACCTGTCAGGCCGATCAGTTACACGGACGTTTACCGGCGTGCCAGAGTCAATGGCAGACAAGCCTTTGCTCGTAGAACTTGAGTTGCCTCCGCCAAAAGGTTATCGCCGGCGGCGCCAACCCCTCGGCGTTAAAAAATGGACGGAACTGGGCACCCTGTGTCCGTTCGCCCTGCCCTGCTTACACGGCCTAACGGTCACACACTTTGCGATGCCCGGCCGTTGCTCACTTGCTCGCCCACAAGAGCCTCAAGCCTCAACCCGTATCTCCATGGCCCCCCCCAGTCTCCCACTTCGAAAGCGTTGTCAGTTCACGAATCCCAAACCGCCGTTCCATTCCCCATAACGTACGTAGATCACTCAGTCCCATCCAGGAGCAAACCTCCCTCCCCCAAACGGCCAATGCCATCGAGCCCCCCGGACCCTGTGTCTCTGCCTTGCCAATAACCGCCTCCCGTCACACCTCCTATACTATGTTGTATGGTATGGCCCTGACGTGACCACACTCCGATTGCTGCAACGACCACAACCATAGATAGTATGTAGATTGCGTAGCCTCGGTGACTGAGGACGTTCCAGTACGAACTCGTATCCAGCCAGCCAGCCCAGCCCAGCCCAGCTCAGCCCGGCCGGCCGCGTCGTCCATGACCAAACCGTCCCGCGAACGCCTGTATCCCGCCCACACCCACACCCACACACGCACCCTCGAACGAAGCCGTTTCATCCACGCGTCTATCGGCAGTCGACTTCGGGAGCGCAGCCTTGCCTTACTACCTACCTACCACCACCCGACCCGACCCGACCACACTATACCCTGGCCTCCCTTTTACTTATATCACTCATGCCAGCAGCGAGGGACGGCCGACTTCCCCATCCTTGGCCACGGAGGAGCCCTCCCCTTCGACTCGAGCGCCCATCGCCGTTCCGCTTCCCTTCTGGGAACCGTCCCCGCAAAGCCCATGCACCCCCCGTCCACCCGTCAACCCGTCCAGCCCGTTAAAAAAAAAAGAAAAAGGAAAAGAAAACCTTTGCCCTCTCCGTCCCATGGTGCGTCCCTGCCGAGCCGCCTGACGCTTAACGCGACTTTAACCTAAACGTGGGAATCGTGGCCATGGGGCGAATCATCCTCCTCCGCCTCCCCAAGAGAGGAAGCCTGCCGGTTACTCAACGGGGCGGATCGACTTACCTTTTTGCCAAGCAAACCCCGTACATGCTTTTCCCATCGCCGCAAAAAGCTTGCTCCCAAAGGGGTCCCCATCAAAGAGAGTGCTCCGCCGTCAGTTCGCCGCAGACGAGTTCTGACTCCGCTTGGCCTCGTCGTGAAAACACTATTCCCTTCCCCCTGGTTTCTGTCTTGCCGTACCCCGTCTAGGAGCTCGCCCTTCGTAACATCCATCTGGAGAGCCACCCGTTCGAAACCGCTTTGCAACAGTAACAACTCGTTCTGGCATTCAGGCTCACAAAATCAGGCACGTGGGACGAGAGAAGGCTTGTGTTGTTGGTAAAAAAAAAAGTGCCAGTCGACTCCGCTTCGGCGAGGACCGAGTGGGCGGTACTAGGCCATCCTTTCAAAGCTATGTACTGTAGTAAGAAAATTGTAACGACTGTTGTAAACACGATTCTGTGGTGACCCATCACCAACCCCTTTTTGTACCGTGATGCAAACCCGAGTTCCCTGTAAAAACCCGATATGGACCTGTTGTGATCCGAATTCCCAAATATCGAACCCGCCAAAAGGTGGCGGGTTTGCTATGATCCCCCAAACTCCGTGGCGATGCTGAAGAAAACAAACGGAACAAATTCCTGGCTAGTTGTGACAATGCAATGGCTGCGTCTCCCGTAGACATTCCCCCCAACTCTCCCCACCCGTCCTATGATGGCGGCCTTTCAGATGCAGAACTTGCGGTCCAGGGCCTGGAGAGCCTTGACGTCGTGGCTCATGTTGGCCGGACGGTCGACCGGCGGCGGCAGGCCGCCGAGGGCGCCGCCAGTCCGCGGCGAGTTGTTGGCGCTGTTGAGGTTTGCGCTGCTGACCTCGGAGCTGGAAGGGGTAGGGTGCAGCAAGAGGGCGGACAAGCTGGCCTTGTTCGGCAGGGGCGCGACACCGTTGACCTCGGAGTGCGAGCTTCTCGGCGGCGAGACAGACAGCGTGCGGTTGGGAGGAGTGTGCGTGAGCGGGTGGCTGTTGGAGGGGGCGCTGGAAACGGCGTTGATTCCCGGGAGGGTGTTGCCGTTGTTGCGAGGGCCGAGCCTGGGGTCCATGACGGCCTGGGCGGCTTGGGCGGCCTGGGCCTGCAGGTGGGAGATGCGGGGAGACTCCGAGGCACGCGGCTGCTGGATCGAGGCCAGGCGAGGTGACTGGTGCTGCGGCTGCTGGATATGGGCCAGGCGGGGAGACTGGTGCTGAGGCGCATAGGGGGCCAGCGGCTTCTGCACGGTCGGCGGGGGCAGGGGCGCCCGGTCGTAGGGGGAGAGGTGGTGAGGAGGCGCATGCGCGTAGTGAGGAGGCTGGGCGGGCGAGTGCGAGACCTGAGGAGGCGGCAGCTGGTGTTGCGGCTGATGTTGCTGAGCCGGGTAGGGGGAGGTTGTGTAGTGGCTGTAAGGAGGAGTGGCCACGGGCGAGGGAGGCCACGAGTAGCCCTGCTGCTGGGCGTATTGAGGCGGGTAGGCTTGCGGCGGCATGGGCTGCTGAGGGTGCTGTTGCGCCATGTAGGGAGTCTGCTGCAGCATCGGTCCTCTTGTTAGGGCGGGCGTGGGGTTGCTGTCGTGGAGGCTCGACTCCGGGTACATGCCCTTCATGGGGGTGATGTGCCTAAGCTGAGGGTCGGTGCTCGGTTGCTGGAGCTCTGGTGATCCGGGGTGCGGCCTCGAGTAGTAGGAGATGAGGTGGAGGTGCTGGCCGGTGGAGGTGGTGATGCTGAAAGACTGCTTCATGAGGCCGTCGGCCTTGTATCTGTAGCCCTCGGGCTCGCCGTCCTCTTGGTCCTCGTCGCTACCGCGGCCAGAATCGGGCGTCTTGCCGGCACCCCGTCTGCCGCCGCCGAAGCCGCTGCCGCGCTTGCCCTCCATCTCGCGGTAGGTCAGGAAGCTTCCCGATACTCTGCTGGCGCTCCATGACTTTCCGTCGGTCCACCTCCGCATGCCCGCTTCCCGCTCGTCCCAAACAAAGACCGAGCCTGACCGGATGGACTGGCGTTCCTTCTCTGATAGTCTGCGCTGGACGCGAGGCAAGAGGCCGAGTCGGCAAGCCTCAAAGAGCTTGATGGCGTCTGCGGGCGTCCGCACGAATCCGTGATATGTCTCCATTGTGTGTGATGGATCAAGTGTGGTGAAAGGTAAATGGGAGTGTGAAAGAGAAGAAGACAAGGAAAAGAAGATGATATAGAAGTAAGGCTACCCAAGAACCTTTCAAGTCGAGGGAGTGTGATGGATGGATGGGGGGAGGAACCTTTTAAGAGGAGCGAGCTGTGTACGAAAGTAACCTTCCGGTGGTCCTCCACTGCGGCCCCACTGAGTTCGTTTGGGACAGGGATAGCTTGAATGAGGAATCGGCACAAGTTGCCTCGACCAAAAAAGATCCTTGGCCGGTTTGCGCCTTATGGGTAGTGACGGGAAATCCGCGGTAGAATACAGTAGGAGGATTTTGGGTTAAGCCGAGCTGCTATGGTTAAACCCCGTGTGACCCCAACTGTGATGGTGTCCGACTGTCACGCCAAGAGATGACCCAAAGGTAAGTCAGGGTGAGACGTCTCGTCGGGAAGGTTGAGGGTCCAAGCTTTCTTTCTACTGGGCTTTGGGAAAGCGTTTGCCGTGAGCTGGAACCGACGCGTGGTCGAGAAGTGCTGGTCGGGGCTTCGAGAGAAACGAGTTGCGTAGGCTGGGTGACGCAAACAATGTGGGTTAGCTCCTCAGGATCTCGGTGAGTGAGAGCGACGACGACCTTCTCGATGATGAGATGATGGTGTTTCGCAGGCCGCGGGTGATGATGACAGAAGCTTAATGACAACGGGATAAAGAGATGGGTTGAGGCGCATTGAGTCGCACGTCAAGCTTCGAAAGGGTGGAGATAGTAGAGGGTGAATGGGATGTTGGAGTTGGTGAGAGCTGCTTATGGCAGGCTTGCGAGACGTGCCAGGTATGGAGTTCAAAGCCGCCAGACTGGCTGGAGCAGCGCCTGTACCATATATATCCTGATACAACACGCGCAAGCCCACACCAGCAGTCGCACCCCCTGCCAGGCCAAGCTTTTGCCGACAGGGGAGTCTGGGTAAGGGAGGGGGGGCCAGGGCAAGCCAAGGGGACAGGGGTATAGCAGGTGTGGAAATGGGGGCGTGTGACGGAGGGAGAGAGAGAGAGAGAAGGGAGGGGGGTGAGGGGAAAAGGGGTGTGTTGTGGGAGTGTGGCCAAGGCTTGAGGATAAAAGTGACTTTGGGACTTGTGAAGACAAGACTGCCTGCGAGAGGAAGTGGAGGCGACCCGAGGGACCCAAAATTCCTTCTGGAATTACCCTGCGCTCACGCATACGCACACGCACACACCACACACACACGCTTCCTCTCTCTGTCCTTCTCTTCTCTGGCGCGCCGTCACAGCCGATCCACTGAAGAAGATGACGGGGGACGGGGGTTGCGGTCTCTTTTCGACTAAAATTGCCTCTTGGACTATCCCTGAGCGGGCTCTGCAGAGAGGCCGAGAGGACCGATGGCCGAGTCGCACCTGGAGGCTAACCAGGGGAAAACAGGCGATGTGCATGAATGATGGGAGGCAGACAGGGCGAGTTGCGTGGGGACTTGGGACGACGATCAAGCCCGTCCAAGATACAGTATGGGGGGGAGATGTGCGTGAAGGCGAGAAAGAGAGAGAGAGCAGAGCGTATGCGTGTGTGTGTTCAACCGTTAAGCAGCCTGATGAACACCGGGAAGCTCGTCGCGTCGGTCGAGTGTATGATCATCTCTTGACAAGCGTGCTTTTAGACGACGGGGCCTACGAAAAGTGCACTGCAACTTTCCCACCTCTGGCGTGCGTGGTACGCATCTGGTCAATGTGCCGTCCAGTCCACTCCCCCCCTTGTAGGGTCGCGGCCCCCAAATAGTCAAAGATAGCAGACATAAGGTTGCAACTAGACACTCCAAGGGGGGGGGGAGGCGGGTGACACAAAGTGCTCGAGAAGCCCATTTGGAGCAGAAAGACTATGCATGCGCCTGACCAACGACGGAGCTTGATTACGACAAATGGCAGGGAGCCGAAATGAGGGACAAACGGAGCAGGAGCAGAGTGTAGATGGATTGGTAATGGGGGTTGAAACAAAGAAATGCGGACGTACCTGTCTCTGGTGGTTCGCGATGGAGTCGTCGAGCTTGCCTGCCGGTGAGGTTCCCTACTTTATGGAGACCGAATGGGCCACAATAATGGCGGCGACGGCGTAGTCGGCAACGAATGTGGGAGCAATGTGGATGCGTGTGTCGATGGTCTCGTGTCGGATCGTCGTCCAAAGTCTGGCCTCAGCAATGGCGTACGGGAAAACTTGACACTTGTTATAAGATTGAGACCTGCGGGAGATGAACGACAGGGCAACAGTCGAGATTGGCCAGGGCGGCCTAGGAGGTGCCGATTGCGTCTGCCTCTTTATGCTTGATCCAGTGCCGAAAGAGCAGCTTTCTCGGCCGGGCGCCCACTGAGCAGCGACAGGGCCACCACCCAGTCGACGATGATCAGGGTTACCGCCGCAAGTCAAGGCCCAAGGGTCGGGGACATAGGACAGAACGGGGTCGAGTGTGCGCGATGCCACTTGCTGGGCTCCTCACCAGGTGGGAAGGGGGGGGAGGGCAGTAGGTATCTGGGATGCGCCCTCGACTTTGGTTCCCGCGGATTGGCGGGTGGTGGTCGCAGAGGATGGTGGTGACAAGCTTTGGGGGACGAGATGGCGGGTGGGTGTGTTGGTTGGCCGGCACCGATCAAAGGCCCAAGGCAAGGAATAGCTACGCTGTACTGTGCACGAGTAAAGTTAGGAAATCCCGAAAAACTCCACAACTTGTCAACTGAAGACGGGCTGGTGTGGTGTACAGCAAAAACCAGCCTCTTGGAGCTCTTTGTGGTAGGGTAGTGCAGGCAACGGGGGAAGAAGGATGACGACGACCGCTGGGCGCAGTTTGAGATGATGGGCGAGGGACAGGATGACAGTGGGAGCCTCCCGTATGTGGGCTGAGATATGATGGACCCCCGATCAACGGACGGAACTTTTTAAGGTCAAGGTGTGCGAAGGGACTTGGCTACGCTGTCGGAGACTCAGGATGATGCAGGCGGCTTCTCCATCCAAGGACTCGACGACACGGCCAGGCCTGGCGTGCTTGCGTCAAGCAAACGCCTCGAGCGATTCGGGCTCGGGATGTGGGAGGTGGGTACCCGAAGGGCCTTTTCAGAATCCCACGCCGCCCAGGAAAGACTTGTGATGATCCAGATCCAGATCCAGCAGCAAGTACGTGGGAACGGGTTCAGGGGAGAGCCTCGGATGGGTAAGAGGGCTGCGTATGTCTTCGGGAAGCGGGAGGATTTTGGGATGGGAGACGAGAATGAAGGGCCAGGGCCGATGGATGGCGAGAGGGAGCCATGCAGAGTGTGACCCATGTGGTAGGGGAAATAAGGGAATTAAGCTTGGTGTAGCACGGTGGTTTAGCCCACCTCGGGTAGTACGTACGTATCAATGGCCCTCCCACGTACCAGACAGATGGCCACTTCCTTTTTGGCGCCGGGGGAGAATGGAGACTCGAGGAATGCGGCGCGGGCTAGCGAGGCTCGTGATGACGACTCACGTGTGGGCAGCGTACGTGGTTGCCGGTGGGCGGTGGGCGGTGATTAAAGGGAAGAAGGGGCGTAGGTATTGCTGTCGAGCTAAGCACCTCAGATTGATGCAAGCTTCAGTTCTCTCGGCCGTCGATGGCCGCAGGCGCGGGTCCGGATAGCAGTTGCGGGTATACGGCAGCGGGCACGGAACAGGTTGAGCGAAGCGAGCAAAGGACGTGACGGGGACACCCACGGGAATAAGCTCCAGTCGACTGGCTCGCACTCGAAATTGGCGTTGGCTCGGGCGGGCTTGATTGATTGATTGCCTTCGGGATCTGGGTCTGGCGTGCCGACTGATCCAGATGGCGCGTTTGCGGTGCCTCAGCCCCCGACAACCCAGAAATAAACAAATTGGCGGCCCTGGGGAAACGAGGTACAGTACAGTACTGGCTTGGGCTGGTCTCGCTTGTGCTTCCGACCGGGTTCCCTCCACAGCAGCAGTCGGTCTCGCACTTTGGGCTATGAATGCATATATCCCGGAACCTGAGTGTGGCTCCTTCTCTGACGAAATAGTCCGCGGTGAAACCCCAAAGTCCGTTCAATGTCTTATGGTCGGGTATCGGCTAGAGACCCAGATCGGTGTGGCGCCGAGAACCTCCATGCAGTTGATGGTCTTGTTATTCCACAACACTGGTGAGGGAGGGTGGTAGAAAAAAAACGGGGAGCAACGGGACGTTGGATCAAGATCGAAACGAAGGAGGGGAAGGGCGCGAGTAATAATTAAAAGCCTGACCAAGCACATTGGTCAACACAAATGGCATATGACTGCGATAAGATGTGACGAGAGGCGGGAATGCCGAGGTGGGAAAGTCGATGGGGAGGGTGTGCACCCGTACTATGTAGTTCGTCGAGATCAGCGCGGCGGCGGCGGCGGCGGCAGCGGCAGGTGCATATGCATGGATTGGTTTGTTTTGGCAGCAGAAAGATCGGCGGCCGTCGCAGGACAATAAGCAGCGAGATGATGGTGGTGGGAGTGGGAGTCAGAAGCAAAGTCGTCAGCCGCCAAAGCGGTTCGAATGCCGCCGTGGTGCTGCGTCGTCCAAGATTGCGTCCAAGACGGACAGAGCGGGCATCAAACCCTCAGCCAATGCCAAAGGCTGGATGCCGAGGGAGACGGTGGTTGGACGATGCGGGCGGGAGCTTGGCAGGTTGGCGGGTTGCTTTGATTTGGCCTGGTTGGTCGGCCTGCCATGAATGCCGTCGGACGGGATACAAACACTTGGGACGGAGGAAACGACCTCGATACCAGTTCGAGGTTGACTTTGTTGCATTTGGGTTGAGGTGGGATGGGAGTAAGATGAGATGCACTGGGGAGAGAGACACACACACGCACGCACATGCAGACGCACATACACAGCTCTCTCTTTCTCTCTCAATCTGCAAGAAGCCACGGCGCGGTAGGATCGAACCTTGGAAGGCGGTACCAAAATTTACTTTTTTTTTGTCTTGACGAAAAGTACCTTTGG